TTGGTTTTTTCAAATGGAATGGCCTATAATATATTTCTATATGTTCTGTTTGATCTCTTCTAACGCTTTTATAACTACCGTTTATTTTTGAAATTCAGATGCGACGTTGCCATGCCAATTTTTTTTTAATACCAGAAGGGTTCATAAAAAATCTAATAAGGTTATTTTTAAAATCTGTGTAACAATATTTTGTAGAGAGACAAATAAAAGTACGCGCTTTTTGTGGTATAAATAAAATTGTACTCTAATGTACAGAGTGTTTCAGTTTTTTGTTCTTTCTTTTTGTGAAATATTTAACAAATTTAAAGCTGATAGTTATTGCGAGTTTTTACTTTTTTTTGGTGACAAAATATAATGTAAGATGTAGTAATTAGTAAAATAGAGACTGTTCTATTTGAAAAAAAAATGATTATCGATATTTGAAAATTGTACAATCTGTAAATTAAAATTTTATTTAATTGATACCACGACGAAATCCCTACCTCTGGTTATCTCTCTATAAAAACAACATTATTCGATTTTTGTAAACCTTTGCATTACTAAAAAAATAAAAAACTTGGAACAATGTGGCAATGTCACATCAAAAATTTAAAAATAAACTATGGCCATAAAGGCTTTGAATATGTAAAAATATATAGGCTGTTCTATTAAAAAAAAAAACAAGTTGTACGTTGTGTCTCAAAAAGAAAACACCCTGTATGTATTTTATTAGATGGTATTCAAAAACCGTAAAACTTTTGTATCTGACTTTTTCTATCTCTAACAATTAATGAGATATTGAGGACTGTGCGCTTAGTGACTCACTCTGTATATTATATTTTTCTGAATAATTGACTTGTGATACGTGGAAAAGAAAACACCAATTGTGCATAAAATTCATTTTGAACACCTAATCAACCCATTTAGAACACACAATCATTTTGAACATCAACTGCAATTTAATTAGATCATACATATTAATGAAAAATTACGTTGATTGTGTATAAAATTATTTTTGAACACCCAATCAATCACTTTGAATACCTAATCATTTTGAACACCTATTGTAATTTAATTAGACCATATATATATTTGAAAAATTATGTTATTTGTGTATACAATTCTTTTTGGACACCTATCAACCACTTTGGACACCTATCAACCATTTTGAACACCCAGTCAATCATCTTGAACACCATAGCAATCATCTTGAACACCGAATCAATCATCTTAAACACCCAATCACTCTGAACACCGATTGCAATTTAATTCGATCATACACGTTTTTGAAAAATTACGATAATTGTGTATTTATATAATTAATTTTAAATACCTAATCAATCATTTCCAACCCCCAATGAATCATCTTAAACACCTAATCAATTATCTTGAACACCTAATAATTTTGAATACCCACTGCAATTAAACTAGATCATATACATTTTTAAAACATTACGTGAATTGTGTATAAAATTCATTTTAAACACCCAGTCAATCACTCTAAACGCCCACTCAATCTTGAACACCTTCTCTTTTTGAACACCCACTGCAGTTAAATTAGGTCCTACACATTTTTGAAAAATTACGTAAATTGTTTATACAATTTATTTTGAACATACAATCAACCATCTTGAACACTCAATCAATCATTTGAAACACTCAGTCAATCATCTTGAGAACCAAATCAGTAATCAATCATTTTGAACACCCAATCAATCATTTTTAACACTCAGTTAATCACTTTGAACACCCAATCATTTTGAACACCGACTGCAATTTAATTAGTTCTTATGTTAATTGTGCATACAATTCTCTTTGGACACCTATCAACCATCTTGAACTCCCAGTCAATCATCTTAAACACCCAATCACTTTGAACATCGATTGCAATTTAATACGATCATACACGTTTTTGAAAAATTACGTTAATTGTGTATCTATATAATTCATTTTAAATACCTAATCAATCATTTCGAACACCCAATCAATCATCTTAAACACCTAATCAATCATCATGAACATCTAATCTTTTTGAACATCCCTGCAGTTAAATTAGATCAGACACATTTTTGAAAAATTACGTAAATTGTGTATACAATTTATTTTGAACATACAATCAACCATCTTGAACACCAAATTATTTATGAACACTCAATCAATGACTTTGAATACCTTTTGTAATTTAATTAGACCATACATATTTTTGAAAAATTATGTTAATTGTGCATACAATTCTCTTTGGACACCCATAAACCATCTTGAACCCCCAGTCAATCATCTTAAACACCCAATCACTTTGAACACCGATTGCAATTTAATTCGATCATACACGTTTTTGAAAAATTACATTAATTGTGTAACTATATAATTCATTTTAAATACCTAATCAATCATTTCGAACACCCAATCAATCATCTTAAACACCTAGAATCATCATCATGAACATCTAATCTTTTTGAACACCCCTGCAGTTAAATTAGATTAGACACATTTTTGAAAAATTACGTAAAGTGTGTATATAATTCGTTTTAAACAGGCAGTCAATCATTTTAAACGCCCAATCAGTCGATCATCTTGAACACTTAATCTTTTTGAACACCCACTGTAGTTAAATTAGATCATACACATTTTTGAAAAATTACGTAAATTGTGTATAAAATTCATTTTGAACACCCAACCAACCATCTTGAACACCCTATCAACCATCTTGAACTCCTAATTATTTTGAACACCCACTGCAATTCAATTTAGATCATGCACATTTTTGAAAAACTACGTTGTGTATAAAATTCTTTTTGAACACCCAATCAATCACCTGGAACACCGATTGCAATTTAATTAGATCATACTCATTTTTGAAATACTACGTAAACTGTGTACAAAATTCATTTTGAACAAAGAATCAATCATCTTGAAAACCGATTGAAATTCAATCTGATCATACATATTTTTGGAAAATTGCGCCAGTTGTGTATAACATTCATTTCATATACCCAATCAATCATCTAGAACACCCAATCATTTTGAACACCGATTGCAATTTAATTAGATCATGAACATTTTTGAAAGATTACGTAAATTGTATATAAAATATATTTTGATGACAACGAATAATCTTGAATGCCCAGTCAATCATCTTGAATATACAGTCAACCATCTTGAACACCTGATCAATCACCTTGAACACACAATCAATCATTTTGAAGACCCAATCATTCTCAATATCGACTCCAATTTAATTAGAGCATACATAATTTTGAAAAACTACGTTAATTGTGTATAAAATTAATTTTGAAGATCCACGAGAGTAAAATCTCATTTTTTGTTCGAACATTTTTGTTGAATTTCATTTCTGTATTTATTACCAAATTTGTTCCAGATTTTATGTACTGTAGAGTACTACAGTAGTAGATGCTGTAAAAGCAAGGCGGCAAAATTAAATAAATGAAATTCGTCGGTACATCGAAGTCTTTGTTGCTTTATAGCCATTTAAGAAACCAATAACAAATCAGGGTCTTAACTACTGAACGCGTTTTATTACATCACATGGTTGGGTTGATGTTTTCATATTTCCAATATTAAAACTGTTTACGTCACCGTAATGGCGGAAACTCAGAAAAATTGAAATCTGAAAGCGTGAAGTGGCAACATTTTAAATTTCTTGGCCAACATTTATTAATATGAACATCAATAAAAGACACTAAAAGAATATGTAGGACTTATTCTTGCAATTAAAACATGCGTTTGTCAAAATTTAATTTGTCTCGATCTGGTGTAAATATTCTAAACGTCACGATTTTTTTTTTTTTGTTAAAATCGTTGGATTTTGGCCATTGAAAAAAGTATGAAAGTAGTAAATACGGCAGCTGTCAAGGACATCACGGTCATTATTGGCATTCCCTTTATTAATTGCAGGTCGTCATTCGAAAAATTCCACTTACGTCCACAAAAAAGTGGAAAAATTCAATGTCACCAATACTTCGGTGTTTCTAATATATTGTCCCAAATACTCTGAACTCGTGTGTACCTTGTTCTAACTTAATAGAATCGTAACGAGATAACAAGTTCCAACTACTCTCAACTTACATGCTCATATCATGACGTCAGAGCTTAATGACCATTTGAAAAGCAACCTGCCTAGCAAATGCGAAAGCCATAGTAATAATGATGGCTAATAATCATCCCCGGCTAATTAGCATGGTGCAAATTAAAGTGTATTTAGTGATGACCTTGACAACTGCCGTACTTACTACTGATTAATTTCGTTGCGTGTTTAGGCGTCACTATTAAACGTAATTATATGTTAATTTTAATGCAATCGTGTATGTGGCTTCTCAATGGATAAAAGAAAGAAAATATCCGTGTAGAACTAAACAACCACGCCCGAGAGATAACCCCAAAACGGAACTCGGTTTTCGAATCACCTTAATTAGTTCCTTCTATCAATGTGGAAAGTAAATGTTGAATTTATCCGCATTCATTAATTTCGATATCTCCTAATGACACTAGAGCGAATGAATTATTTTACGTCAATGGCGAAATTTTGCAAAAGCCCTCGAAACTCGAGCCACTCTAAAACAGCCCCTATCCACTTTCCCAATTAATGTTGGCACATATCGCTGAAGCCCAAGTTTTAAATTGCCAGTCCTAGGTTAACCCCATTTCGAGCTCGGTCGTTACTTATTAAGCAAATTTAATAAATTCCCCCAATCCCATGTCCTAGGTAAACAGTCACGGACCGTCCTAATCTCTTCGCGTACATTTAAACGTCCGGGATTATTAATGGCGTTAAGCCTTATCAAAAATACTTCCGGCAAATTGCTAGCCATGTCCATTACTTCGTTGTCCGATTGATCGATGCGTCAGTTAACTTGCTCTGAACAAATTGCACATTCCCAATGGCCGACATCGACCCCGTTGCCGTGTCCAGTGACGGATGTTGTTAAACTGATGGCGTTATTTTGAAAGTTAGAGAATTTCGAGTTGCGGCTGTTAAGAAGGGCCGACTCTGGACTACTTACCACTCGAGTTTAACGTTGGGGTAAACCGTGACAGCCATGTGAGCGTCGAGTTCCCGATCGATCCTGCAAACCACATGTCGACATCAATCAGCTGAACAAACAATTGGATGTGTTACGGAAGTCGGGAATTCGGGACGGAATGAACTTGTCATAGGTGAAGAGGCGCCGTCAAGGGCTAAGCGCCAAGAACGGGCCGTAGATGCAGGGAACGAAGGGAGTAACAAGTAACAAACACGAAACCGTTTCAGTATGGTTGATTAACAAGTACCGTCTTATCGAAGGAGTATACATTTTCAGTCGAGGGAGCAAAATTCTACCACCGAAAACGTGTTTAAGGGTTGATGCGTCATCCGCCGTGATTCATGGGTTTGTCTTGAAATTGATCGCAAGCACTTCTATATATCGGGTTAATAACAGATTTTCATAAGGTACTACTACTACTATTAGTTTGAGATTTATTCAAATTTGCCGCTCACCATCACAATAATACGTACTACTCAGCACAAATATGTAACGTTAATTCGACAATTTGATTAAAATTCTATTCCAATAAGAATTTCTAGGGTTTCTAAACGATTGTATTTTCCTTTTTAAGGAAAGAGCTGTGGTTCCGTTTTTATCACTAGAAAGATACCCGCGTTTTAGGAGTGCGTAGGTAGCATTCTACTTCGCATTAATATGGTCAGAGATGTAGAGATTTAAAATATGAGTTCAAAAAAATCTATAAGCTGCTTTATGGGTTGGGTTGGGGATAAACGCAAATGCGAAAACCGGTTATAGTTTATTCAATAAAACTGTCCTCAGAACTTTACAAATAGCTTATAATCAGTTTTTAATTGGCTTTTGACTCTAACAAAATGTTTTGTGAAAATTGGTTGCTGTATAGCAGTTTGCATAACTTTGTATCCCGGGTATCGTTTTTATAAATTGGTTGAAGTACAGTCTTCAACAAATTATAAAATGTGACAGTATAAGGTTTATCCCACAACACAAATTTTATTTTTGTTATGATAAAATTAGTTAAGTTAAAAAAAACGGTCTAAAGTTATTTGACGACAACTTCATTATCTTACACATGAAACATTCAAATGTCACGTGCGAAAGATATCGATTATATGAAACATGCAGCGAATATTACACGAACACTTCTGTAAAGTAATTGTGATTAAAACTCAATGTGGATTCATGAACCACAAGTGTAGGAGTAGATTATTTTATAAAATTTAAATAATGTTGAATGTACACAATTTTGCGGTGATGTCATTACATTGTTGGTGAGGATGACTGGACACATTTTGGTTAGCGTTTTCAAAGCTACACGATACTCCTAAAATACATATAAAATTTGACAACATTTGCTTCAGTCATTTCGGAAATTACTTGTCTAGTAAAAATTGACACAAAACAGCAGACGACAGACGGTAGATGGCAAACATACAGACGGACGTACTCTGGAAGTCATGTAAAACATGAAAATAGCCAGTTGCCCGATGGATTCGACTACAATAATTCCGTAGCTAATGCTTAATTTCCCTTAAGATTAGCGGATACCGAAAATATCTTTATCTTAGGTAAAATTGACTGAGGGAGGGGGAGGGGTTAAATATATTTTCTTATTATGAAGTAGGAGGAAGTCCAAAACTAAGAAAATCCGTCTTAAGTAATAAATGAACTTATCATGAACTCATAAAAATGATTAGACAAATTTTGATTAGCGACAGATAGATAAACGGAAACAGAAGAGCCATTGTTTTGTACACAAAGTGACATGAAGACCTGAGAAAACATAAAAGTAGCCATTCGTTCGGAAAGTAAAAATTGAATTCAGGAACAATTAAAATAAGGTCAAAAATGCCAACAATGTACCAAATATTAAAACTACTGTAGGATTACACAGTTTGATATAGTTGTGAGTACAATACAAATGTACCACTTCAGGCATTTCGCATCTCCTCGGGGGAAAGTAAGTCGCTCGGTGCAGTTCTTTAGTCACGAGTTCTGTGGAATTGCGGTTCTCCGTGGAATTCACTCTTCGCCGAAGCAAATGCGTCATTTTGCGCAATCCCGTTAGTGACAGTAAGTACAACTCTAAGGGGAGCAGCGAAGATTACAAAAACCCACTCGTCGCGGGTTGGGAGGAATTGCGGCTCTCCGCGCAATTCACTCTTTGAGTAATCCGTCGCCTCGGAGGACGGAGGATTGCGTATGTTCTTTCAGGAACGGAGGAGGTTGGAGATGTGTCAGCCCAGTCAAGCTCAATACTCCAATCTACGGCAACAAGCCTTTAAAGAGCAGTCGTCCCTACCCTGGACCATGGTAGGGGTGACAGCCTTAAGGTTGTCCATTGAGAGCGCCTCTTGTCGTACCGGCAGCGCCCTGGTACTAGGTGTATTTACGCTACAGTACCAAAAATACCAAGAAGGCTGGTTGACAAGCTGATCATGTTAAATTATCAAAAAATATCAAACATCTCAGTAATGTCAATACAAATTGTCAACAATCCCAGAAGTTGCAAACAAAAGGGGAAAAGTAAAAACAAGAACTAGATATATGTGACACAAAATGTTAAAAATACTGACAACCTAGAAAGTCTTTGGCGCCTTTAAAATTTTTAAATGGTGGAAAGTCAATTACGTTGAAAATATAAAATTCTAGAAACTAAAACATGTCATTTCGGTAAATTATCGACGCATAAAAAAGTGGTCTTAGATATATCAAATACATATAGTTTTGGAAATTTCATTCTACCCTATAAAATTTTATTGACAATAACGAGATGGACAGTAGTACAATGGTAAGAAATATTTATGGTTCACACCAGTTCACCCGAATTTGTGGGAGAACATTTAACAGGTAGTTGTACTCATAAAATAATGGTCATTTTCGTTCGTGAGTAACGATGGTCCCAGTCCGGGATTACCAGCACGCGACAACTTTAAGTAGTAAATATCTCTTGCTATTGTACTCCTGTCCGCCTGGTTATTGCCAATAAAATTTTATAGGGTACAATAAAATTTCCAAAATTGTAATACCAAAATTTTCCCAAATACGACAAAAATGTAAAAATTATAAAAAAAAATACCAATAAAACCGTTACAGAAAGTTTAGACATTTATTACGTCAATTTTCAAAAAAGGAAAAAGGAAAAGTATGGACCCCAAAGAAGGGTTTCTGTAATTCACAACACAGTTCGCTGAACAAAAACAATAAGTCAGAAGTAATTCAAAATTTTAGCAGCAATAAATGAGAAAAAAAAAACAAGGTAAGAATTTTAGCTACAAAAGATATCAAGAGCGTCGGTTGACATACATATACTGTTTCAAATACCAATATGCAAAATGCAAAAAAAACATAAGAAGACAAAATGAAAAGAAATAGTGATGACGAAATTTATGAAACTGAGTTGGATTTTGCCATAAATCTTTAAATTAAACAAAGAAAAATGAAAAAAATTATAATATGTATCTTGAAAATGCCACTAGTCGTTTTTTCTTTTTTAAATGATCTCTACGGTGCTTTTTTGGACAAACTTACACAAAAAATAATTTGCAAAAATTTTTCCAAAGCCGACTTTGACCCTATAATCTTTTTCTGAAATTGTTTAACTGTGAGTTCTCTAATAAGAAAAAAAATTAGATTTGAACTGTGATGCTGAAACTTTTGAAAATGAAATGGTTTTTGGTATAACTTTAAATTAAAGAAAGAAAAAATAATATTTAGAAAATATCACTAGTTGTTTTTTATTTTTTTAATGCTTTTTCACGGTGTTTTTTTTTTTTTTTTATAAACATCGGAAAATGCGTCTGAGGCTTATATATGATTCCTTATCACAGCAGCGACAACACATAAAATAATTAGCAAACATTTTTCCAAAGCCGAATTCGATCCTATAATTTTTTCTGAAATTGTTTAACTGTGAGTTCTTTAATAAGAAAAAATTAGATTTGGACTGTGATGACGAAACTTATGAAATTGAAATTGGTTTTGCTATAAATTTTTAAATTAAATAAACAAAAATGAAAATATCATAATATTTTGTTTGTTTTTTTTTTAATGATCTTCACGGTGATTTTTTTGGACAAACTTATCGGAAAATGCGTCTCAGGCTTGTACATAATTCTATATCAATAGCAGCGACAACACAAATAATAATTTTAAAAAATTTTTCCAAAGCCGAAGTAGATCATTTTTTTTTTCTGAAATTGTTTAACTGTGAATTCTCTAATAACAAAAAATTAACTTTCGACTGCGTTGATGAAATTTATGAAACTGAGATGAGTTTTACCATAAATCTTTAAACTAAAACAAAGAAAAATGAAAAAATCATAATATTTTTTAAAAGATCTTCACGGTGTTTTTTTGGACAAACTTATTGGAAAATGCATCTCAGGCTTGTACATGATTCCATATCTCAGCTGCGACAACACAAAAAATAATTTGCAAACATTTGTCCAAAGCCGACTTTGACCCTATAATCTTTTTTGAAATTGTGTAACTGTGAGTTTTCTAATAAGAAAAATTAGATTTGGACTGAGATGATGAAACCTACGAAACTAAAATCGTTTTTGCCATAAATCTTTAAATTAAACAAAGAAAAATGAAAAAATATTCTAATATTGTGAAAATATCACCCAGTTGTTTTTTTTTATATTGATCTTCACGATGTTTTTTTGGACAAATACTTATGGGAAAATGCGTCTCACGCTTGTACATGATTCCATATCACAGCAGCGAAAACACAAAAAATAATTTTCAAAAATGTTTCCAAAGCCGAATTCGATCCTATATTTTTTTTCTGAAATTGATTAACTGTGAGTTCTCTAATAAGAAAAAATTAAGATTTGGACTGTGATGATGAAACTTAGGAAACTGAAACGGTTTTTGCCATAGATCTTTAAATTAAACAAAGAAAAATGAGAAAATCATAATATTTTGAAAATGTCGCCAGTCGTTTTTTCTTTTTTAAATGATCTTCACGGTGTTTTTTTACACAAACTTATCGGAAAATGCGTTTGAGGCTGGTGCATGATTCCACATCACAGTAACACAAAAAATGACACGAG